ACATTTCCTGCACAGAGACACTTATACATTTCCTGCACTGAGACACTTATACATTTCCTGCACAGGGACACTTATACATTTCCTGCACAGAGACGCTTATACATTTCCTGAACTGAGACACTTAAACATTTCCTGCACAGAGACACTTATACATTTCCTGCACTGAGACACTTATACATTTCCTGCACAGGGACGCTTATACATTTCCTGCACAGAGACGCTTATACATTTCCTGAACTGAGACACTTAAACATTTCCTGCACAGAGACACTTATACATTTCCTGAACTGAGACACTTAAACATTTCCTGCACAGAGACACTTATACATTTCCTGTACTGAGACACTTATACATTAACTGCACAGAGACACTTATACATTTCCTGAACTGAGACACTTATACATTTCCTGCACTGAGATACTTATACATATCCTGCACAGAGACCCTTATACATTTCTGAAAAAAACTAAGAGTAAACCGACGTTTTAACAAAACCTGTATTTCACCAAGAAAATTCAGGTCAAATCGATGTAATGTCACGTTTCATAGCAAGAAATGGGGTAATGACAACACAACAAAGCTAATGAGTACAATATATCAACCTTCATATCACACTTATTTCCAAATTAGATTATATGATGGCAACCAGACATCTTTTCCATATCCTACCAAACTGCTTCTTTCGAAAATCCTGTGTTACATGTTTCTCAATCATCAGTCGACATTTATCACTAATTCTTATTGATTTAAAAATATTTCGTCCCTTGTTGTTGACGCTGTGTTATATTGTTTCGTATGACACGATTTGATTTCCGAAAAGCAACGTAAGCTCTAAAACAGCAGCGGTTTCCTTTGAGCAAAGGTAGGCTCTTGCAAACACTTCTTAGTCCAACTGCATAACAGTGTTGAAAGTCTGACAACTTAACCAAGGATATCATATATCTGGATTGCATACACATACTTTATTTAGAGGGAAGCTTGGATAAGTTCATCTTCCACCTGTCCTCCAAATGGACATGTAATGATATTGATACAGTTCTCTCTGATATGATAATGCCCATATGTGCAGCCGCGTTTTAAGAGGCCTTGGATCATTTTCGAATCTGAAGGTGCTCGTAATCAACATAAATGACCAATTTGGTTTTGAACTTGCAATGCTTACTGAACTAACTGAAAAAGTCACTTTCTTACGATAGGATCTTTGTGCAATTTTTTGTTCAGTAGAACCAGGGTTCATAACAGAAGTGGAGTTCTTGCTAATCAAACCAATCGTTCCTATGTAAAAATGAAACCTCCGACAAGGAACCTTTTCTCTGATTCAGAACAGGATGTAGACGTTTTCACTTCAAGTCATTTATCAGGCAATACTAATAATAACTTAATATTGCAATCTCGGTATGCAGCCTCTTTATTAAAAAATTGTCTTACATGACATACAAATGGCTGGTGGTGGGTTAAATAAGATGTCGAATCTAGCCATAGCATCATCCATGAGTCGGGACAGTATAAAGACAGACGTTTCTCGGATGAGAAGGTAAGAGATGTGCATTTCTGGATTGAATTGGAGTGCAGCACTTCATTCTTCAGTATATAATTTGGAGTGCAAAATGATGGTGCAATTAGGTGAGAAGAAGTTAAGTTACATTAACCGAGCAATGTTATGCATAAAAAGCCAGCCTGTTCATGGAAACTTTGTTTAGACAGTGATACAACTGGATTAGTGTTCGCTTGATTAACAAGACTCGGCTACATGGTTACCTAGAACCTTTATTTGACCATATATCATTCTGTCACATACTGTCAGTGAGTAAGAGTAGGCCACAGCTAACGCTTATTACTATGAAAAACGAGTAGTTGAATTTCACATTCAATTTTTATAAATCACACGTGCGACATTTGACAAGTTCTGAAACCTGACGTAGGAGACTTGGGAAAGCTTCATTAAATGTTAGAATACCAGTTTATGATTGTTCTCATACAGTATTTTTTCAGAAATGAACACAATATATTTGTCAATAACAAACACTGTTTATGACAAAGTGGTTCTGGTTCTGATCTGTAATCTGCACCTTTCGGATATCGCGCCGATTGCGTGTACGAGTTCATCCTATAAATACGTGCGTGTTCAGTCTATACAATTCTACAATTGAAAACCATATGACAAACCAAAATGTCAATTTCTCTTTCAAGATTAAATGAGTTAATCAAAAGGTCACCTGCACATGGCCTGCCAACGACCTTCAGATTTTTTTGTACAAATGTATGTTTTGATGTTTTGTTCTGGTTCATTGTTCCTATCCGACTATTACGTAGTGAAATAATTACCGCTGTCCTAAGCTGTTTTGTATTTGATGACATCATCGTCTTAGCCTCTTTCTGACATGTTCGTTTGTCGTTGTCGGATATTTTAGCGTTGTGTACCTTTACTGCCACACAACAGCTGTCGGGCACAAACCATTCCTGTGAACAAAACAAAAAGCAAAATCGTTACTTACCGAGTGCATGGTTCATTGATTTGCATTCTCGAAATCACAGGGGTTATGTTCACTTACGTTCTCTCCACCCCTGGATATGTCATGATAAAATCGAAGGCACGAGGTAAACTATTTGATTGGTTTTAGTAATACAAAAAATATGACCAATCGCTAGACTCATATCTGTTCTTTGAAGATTTCAAATGAGATTGTTGTTAGATTTAACCGTTATGCTGTCGCGCAATTCTTTATATATATATCAAAGGATCAAATTAGTCAACATCCGCAAGGTCGCTCAACAGAGCCTTTAATTTCGTTTGACATATTCAAAGGGTGCTGAGATTGTAAGTCAGCATAACCTCTGGGATTCCGAGGATGTTGATTTCGTAGACCCGGGCTTACTGCTCTTAGCCATATTTTCTCTGTGACAATCAAGACGTGGTTTGTATGATCACAGTGACCGACATTGTTGAATTAAATTTTAAATGTCTAGATACTATAAAAGCAGATTCCCACCCTTACCTTTCTACTTTGTTCGGGAAGATTTTGTGCATAGACGCTGGAATTAAACTCGGAATAGTTGTAGGACCCGCAGCAATCGAACTACAAAAAATTGAGACAAACATATTGAATCGTGTAAGATTTTGTTATAAACACACTCATTGTCATGAACATTGGAAGTAACTCGCATTTGTGGAAACATTGCTTGTTATTGACAGAGAGACGTACGATTTTATTGTGGAAACATCGCTTGTTATTGACATAGAGACGTACGATTTTATTGAAGAAATATTGCTTGTTATTGACAGAGAGACGTACAATTTTGTTGTAGAAACATTGCTGGTTATTTGACAGAGAGACGTACGATTTTATTGTGGAAACATTGCTTGTTATTGACAGAGAGACGTACGATTTTATTGAAGAAACATTGCTTGTTATTGACAGAGAGACGTACGATTTTATTGAAGAAACATTGCTTGTTATTGACATAGAGACGTACAATTTTGTTGTAGAAACATTGCTTGTTATTGACATAGAGATGTCCGATTGAATTGTAGAAACATTACTTGTTATTGACAGAGAGACGTACGATTTTTTTGAAGAAACATTGCTTGTTATTGACATAGAGATGTACGATTGAGTTGTGGAAACATTGCTTGTTATTGACATAGAGACGTCCGATTTTTTTGTAGAAACATTGCTTGTTATTGACAGAGATACTTACGATTGAACTGTGGAAACATTGCTTGTTATTGACATAGAGATGTCCGATTGAATTGTAGAAACATTGCTGTTATTGACAGAGAGACGTACGATTTTATTGAAGAAACATTGCTTGTTATTGACAGAGAGACGTACAATTTTGTTGTAGAAACATTGCTTGTTATTGACATATAGATGTACGATTGAGTTGTGGAAACATTGCTTGTTATTGACATAGAGACTTACGATTGAATTGTGGAAACATTGCTTGTTATTGACAAAGAGACGTACGATTTTTTTGTAGAAACATTGCTTGTTATTGACAGAGAGACTTACGATTGAATTGTGGAAACATTGCTTGTTATTGACATAAAGACGTACGATTTTTTTGTAGAAACATTGCTTGTTATTGACAGAGAGACTTACGATTGAATTGTCGAAACATTGCTTGTTATTGACAGAGAGACGTACGATTTTATTGTGGAAACATTGCTTGTTATTGACATAGAGACGTACGATTTTATTGTAGAAACATTGCTTGTTATTGACAGAGAGACGTACGATTTAATTGTAGAAACATTGCTTGTTATTGACATAGAGACGTACGATTTTATTGTAGAAACATTGCTTGTTATTGACATACAATCGTACGATTCTATTGCTGTAATTGTGTGGTGATGTTATTTGTTGTGATGTACATCTATACCTGGATCTGTAAGAAGTCCATCGTAGAGTTGCCGGGATCAGTGTAGTTTTGAACTTGACTCGATAAATTTTCATTAAACATCTGTTCAAGCTAAAAGATAAATATATATATATATATAATTTATTATATACATGTACATTCCATTATTGTAATAATAAAAATGTCTATTAGTTCAAGTACCATATTTGACTAGGTACATACCCAACAAACCATTGGCGGACTTAACGTAGGTGTAATTTAAGGTTAAACGTTACCATTTCATAGGATTCTTTTTAAAGAATGAAAAATAATTTTCGGTGGTAAAAATAAAGATTTTCTAGGTCTGAAAATTGGTTTATTTGTTATTCCTACATTGAATAACTGACTGTGACAATAATATTTAACTACAACTACGACAGCAAGCGCGTTTCGCAACTTTTTTCTTTGTGATTACGTCACAAACACGTTGAAGAATAAATTTTAAATACACTGTTAGTGATGGTGTAGCATACTCAGTAAAACATGTCTAATCCGATATCATGTTGAACACAGCAGTAGAGACATGATGTCGGAATACGCTCGGGTTGTATCAGACACATTTCATCGTTATGTTTCTGTTCAAGCAGTAGTTTGAGGCTCAGTGTTAATGTGTGTGTTCATGTTATTATATGTCTGAGTCGGAAACTCCGGTGTAAAACAAAGGTTCGCATTGTAAAACAAGTTATTTTAATTAGCCATTCAAGGGTCTACAGTGAAGCGATTAGAGATAGCATGGTGTCTGTATAGACAAACCGTTTGAGTAACAGACAGAACAATGAACTCGAGATGCACGTTCTATTGAAATCAGATGTTTGTAGCTGATATTCTTATTCCGTCTTTGCGTATTGCAGAGTTATCTTCTCTTGGGAGCAGGTATTGATTGTTACGGCATTGGTTTGTGTGAGAAAATTACGGCGTTTTCTCAAAAATTGATGACTTTACTCTCACAAAAAAATGACGTAACAATCAATCCCTGCTCCCAAGAGGAGATAACTCTGCAATACGCAAAGACGGAATTGAATACCCTGTGTAACAAACATTAATACCACATCATACTTTAACATATGTTATAATGCTGAAATGTGGCAACTCGTTGATAAGCAAGGCTGTGTATTCAGTCCAAATGTATTCTTGGAAAATCCCCAACGTTGTAATACTGCCATGATATTCACAAAAATCATTATCCAAAGAACTTTATAAACAGCATCAACTACGTAAAATGTGTTATTCCTAGTTTGACAATCGGAAACTGAGTGAGCAATACATGAGTGAACAACGGGAGTTTTCCAACGTTCACCGTGTCGGACACCAAACCGTCCTGCTGTCTCTATTTTATTGAGGAAATGCAACCTGGTTTTTTCTTATGGTTTTCCGAAAGGATCCCTGTTCCACTGCAATCATACCCGATACTCCAGAAGTTACGCTCACTTCCGCTCTCTGCACCCCTAGAACCTTGTGGATGAGACGAGAAGACTAGTTTGATCCTTTGATCAACATCAAAAGTAATCTCGCGTTACGTAACGGTAAACAATTGACAGGCTTTGAGGTCGGGTGTCTCTCCTTTGTAATCTTCAAAGGACGGGTATATACGTATCAACCTACCTTTTGGTCAGTTATTTTTACCTGAGACCAATCAAACAGCTTTCTTTGTGCCATCAATTTTGCTATATCACATTCAAGGGGTGCAGAGAGGGTAAGTGAGCGTAACCCTTGGAGTATCGAGGATGCACTGCAATGTGGTTTTTCCTATATATAGAAACATATCCCCTTAGCTTCCGGGTATCACTCATGCACAGTTGGCCAGAACACTTCGGTTGACCAGGCAGCTCAATCGGCCAGAGCGATAGTATATCAATCTAGAGTCCTGCGTTCAAATCGCGGTCTAGCCCCATTGATTATTTTACACTCAAAACATTTGGTCTTTATTTTTTCTTATAAAAGTTCCGCAATTAATGGTTTTAAGATGAAGCAAAGCTATAATAATGCTGGTAAAAACAGTTTCCAATACTTAGTTACATTTTTTTGGCAATGGTACCGGGATCCTTAGTGGGATTTTCCTTTCCTTGTTTTTGCCTTACTATCAGTTGATAAGTGGACCTATGGAAAGCCCATTATTAATATGAATTATTTATATGGTCCTTACAGATGTGATTGCTCTTGTTCTTCGACCTGCTGCTCTGTGGCAATCATATCACATAGATTGAACAACGTACCTATTGTGGCCACTATTTAGTGCAAAGGGTGATGAGAATCGGAATTCAAGTAGTGTTAACTTTATGTATTGGTCCGTGCACGTCTTTATTCTATTGGTCAATGACGAGTATCTTGCCATAGATTGAGAGACAAAGACTCCCACATACGTTAATAGATATCTCGTACTGCACCTCATTATACCTGCGCGTGCATGTGTCTGATGAAAGTAAAAAGTCCATATCGTGTTAGCCATCGAAATGATATGAACCGATGAATATTATTTTACCACGAAAAATATTTTGAAACAATACAGCCACATGAAGGACGAAAAGGTTAAGTCAGGCATACACTTCCTCTTAGTTCGTCAAGTATCTTCATAAACATCCGTTCGTTGAGTGGAAGTCAGGCACATTGTCTTACAGAGATTAGATGCACGTCAGTTACAGTTGATCTTAAGTTTATAGTACCTTCCTCGCAATAACAGCAGGCGTACCATTAACATTACGTTTAGGGCTTTCAGGCAGGCAGCATGACAGCTTCAAAATACCTTGCTGGGGAAGTGTGACCATTATTTTTACAGCAGAGAAGAAACCACGTGAGAAAACCAACCAGGCGCTATATTGTCTTTACAATTACAAATCTGTCATTATATAGGGAAACAGCTGTAGACATTAGAACGGTTGCTACGTTAAAACCAACTGACAATCATTTCCTCGTAATGGGAAACACTTGTCAGCGCCGTTGTGATGGTAAGTACGTACGTAGGCATTGTACTCCGGTACCGGAGAGTTGTTCTGCAGCAACTCGGCTGCTGGTACCGGTCTGCTAAATATGACCAGAGGAGGGATACTCAAGAGTAATGCACCGCCAACACTCGGACTTAATTTGCAGTCGGTTTTATTAACAAAAAAAGGACAAATCCAGAGGAGGAATTCCCCAGAGTATGTCACTGCAAGCAGTCGGACATATGACATTAAATGATATACGTTCAGTCTTATGAATAGAAAGCTAAATATACCCAGAAGTGGGATTCTCCAAAGTATGACACCATCATGATCAGCTCATATATCCGATGCTTAATATCTAACAAGAAATGTAACTCTGCAGCCCTGACGGAGCTATACTAAAGAATACCTCATCTGGTTATATTTAACAGCCAACTATTACCAACCGTAACAATGGTAATTCTAGATTGAATGAATCCAAATATTTTTAAGTTTGTAATCCTGAACGACCCAAATGTGAAAATCTTCAATTCAAATTATAATTTTGAATTTAGAAATGGATTTTACAATTTTGCAACGTTTAATATGCCATATGCGCGGACAAATTGTGAACTATATATACAAATCCGCTGTATAGTAGTTTGAAATGTCTCATCCAATCACACCTTAGTAGAGCGTGGCATCCCCCTGATACAGAGATGTATTGTACCAAATTGTCTTAAATCCTTTCATTTTTAATTAAGATATAGTCTTTCGTTCTTTTTTCTCCTTCTCTGCTTGAGTTCCCCTTTGCCCTCAGGGGGGTTGTCGTTACCTTCAGTCATGAAACATTAATTCAACTTTACCCGAGGATTATTATAGCCCGAGTTCCCCTTGGCCCGGACACCAGACTTAGACATTTTGACAGATAGACTATCAAAATGTCAAAGTCTGGTGTCAGGTTCAGAGGAAACTAGGGCTAGGATCCTTAATACCGAATACGCTTTAAATTTCTTTACCCATACTGGAGGAGTAGTCTTTAAAATCTACCCGCACTCCCCGCCCTTCGAGATATGCCCTAATCGTGCATCTTTCTTATTACGCAAAAATTAATGAAGATGTTATTTGTGTCGTTTGCAAATCTATCTAACGCGTTGTTATACTCCCAAACTATCAAACTCTGATGCAGCCTGTCATAAGAACGACAAAATGAGGAGTAAGGGGTCCCATATGACAGTAACCGCTGACAGGCACGTACAAAACATCTCAAGATCTGTTGAAGCTCCCTAGCGCGGTAATAACCGGACCAGGACTGAAGACATCCGAATGAATCAATCAACTTAGATATCGGGTTAAAAAGTCACAAAATACGCATTGTCACAGCTGGAAAGCAAAAACACCCCACGTAAAATGCGACAACAGAACATCACTAACGTCAATAATCTGTCAATTCTATCCTGTTCGGAAACAAACAAATAAGTTTTCGTCAATAGAAGTTATGGATATCTTTCCTGTTTGTGTATTATTGGATAAACCAGATATCCCCTACTCGTCATAATTGACAATTCACAACCAAAACCTTCAGTCTATTTTCAAACGGAAAGCTCGTATAAGGACTGGATATCAATTGAAAAAAATATCACTTTATGTTGGGTGTCCTCAATTCATGACGCGCTGTGTAACCTGCTTATAGGAAAACCTATCTGTGAGAAGCACATATTTAGTAAAATCAATTGCTTATCCTGTGTTCAATGTTGACCGTAGGGTGAAAGAATCTCAAACAATCTGATCTTGTATTTTTTACTTACATTCGTGCGTTCAATGGCTAGATACACTCCGGCTGTTAATTCTCCAAGAATGACTACAGTCAGACACCCGATGTACTGTGAAAGATGCAATATTTAAATACCTCAGGAAAGACAGAAAATACTAATACCCGAAATGTAGATTATATAAACGATTAACTTTGAATTGTAAATCACTTATACATAGGTAATCATGTTAAAGTAAATCCAAAGGGCAGAACAGGAATTTCAATAAACCACAAATATTATACAGTTGAAATTGAATGTCATTTACGATCATGTATACATACAATCGCTAGCATACAAGCGCTCTCCCGAATGGCACCGCAACAACCACAGAACCCAGTGACGAAAATGAATGTACCGACGGCGATGAAGACGTAAGCGGCGGCATAAAGGACGTCGACGGGGAGATTGATGTGTACAAACTGCTTTATTGTGTCCTCAACTTGACTATCCACCCGCACCCATATACCAAGCCCCAACAACGCGCCTCCTGATACCTGTAAATCAAACAAAAATAGATATATACACCCATATACCCAGTCATAACAACGCGCCTCCTGATACATGTAAGTCAAACAAAAATAGATATATACACCCATATACCAAGTCATAACAACACGCCTCCTGATACCTGTAAATCCAACAAAAATAGATATATACACCCATATACCCAGTCATAACAACGCGCCTCCTGATACATGTAAATCAAACAAAAATAGATATATACACCCATATACCAAGTCATAACAACGCGCCTCCTGATACCTGTAAATCAAACAAAAATAGATATATACACCCATATACCCAGTCATAACAGCGCGTCTCCTGATACCTGCAAAACAAACAAAAACAGGTATATACACCCATATACCCAGTCATAACAACGCGCCTCCTGATACCTGTAAATCAAACAAAAATAGATATATACACCCATATACCAAGTCATAACAACGCGCCTCCTGATACATGTAAATCAAACAAAAATAGATATATACACCCATATACCCAGCCCTAACAACGTGCCTTCACACATGTACAAACAAATATATACACCCATATACGCAGCCCCAACAACGTGCCTTCACACATGTACAAACAAATATATACACCCATATACCTAGCCCTAACAACGTGCCTTCACACATGCACAAACAAATGTATACACCAATATACCGAGCCCTAACAACGTGTCTTCACACATGTACAAACAAATGTATACACCCATATACCCAGCCCCAACAACGTGCCTTCACACATGCACAAACAAATGTATACACCAATATACCCAGCCCTAACAACGTGCCTTCACACATGTACAAACAAATATATACACCCATATACCTAGCCCTAACAACGTGCCTTCACACATGCACAAACAAATGTATACACCAATATAAACAGCCCTAACAACGTGTCTTCACACATGTACAAACAAATATATACACCCATATACCTAGCCCTAACAACGTGCCTTCACACATGTACAAACAAATATATACACCCATATCCCCAGCCCCAACAACGTGTCTTCACACATGTACAAACAAATGTATACACCCATATACCCTGCCCCAACAACGTGTCTTCACACATGTACAAACAAATGTATACCCCCATATACCCTGCCCCAACAACGTGTCTTCACACATGTACAAACAAATATATACACCCATATCCCCAGCCCCAACAACGTGTCTTCACACATGTACAAACAAATGTATACACCCATATACCTAGCCCGAACAACGTGTCTTCACACATGTACAAACAAATGTATACACCAATATACCCAGCCCTAACAACGTGCCTTCACACATGTACAAACAAATGTATACACCCATATACCTAGCCCTAACAACGTGCCTTCACACATGCACAAACAAATGTATACACCAATATACCCAGCCCTAACAACGTGTCTTCACACATGTACAAACAAATGTATACACCCATATACCCAGCCCCAACAACGTGCCTTGTAAACCAAAAACAGTCAACTACATACATAATCCTTATTTTAAGTATTAGTAACGCGCTTCCTGATACTGTACCTGTAAAACAAATGAAAACAAACGAACGTTTACCCAGTTCAATCAAAACGTTCCCTGATACTTGCTATACAAATACAAATTATCATATATGTAAACAACTATTTGAAACAAACGATGTGTGTAAACAAACAAACAAACAAACAATTGTATACACGAAAAGACCATAATGATTAAACGTATACATATATATATACACATAAATATTAGCAAACGTAGCAAACGTTTTCAAACATAGTTATATAAACTGAAAATATTCAACAATAAAACAAACGTATATGAAAGTATATAAATAAACGTAACTAGGCAAAGATATATAAAAACTGTATTAAATAAACACGTACAATAAAAAAAGAATACATGTAAACAAACGCTCCCAAACAAACATATTCAAAGTTCGATAATCAAACGTGTTAAATATAATTTCATTTTTTCTTATATTTAACTCGTCACAAATTTTCCATTTTAGCTCGCCAGCAGCTCACTTAATTTATTGAAAAATTCTAAGACTCGTTTCATAAATCTCATATGAAATGGAAACTCATGTAAACTTTATACCAAGTACTTCAACAAAATCTCCAAACAAAGGTATATGAAATTATATGAACAAACGCAACCAAACAAAGGTATATGAAATTATATTTAACAAACGCGTACAAAAAACGCTACAAAGTTCTATAAACAAACATGCCCAAACAAACGTACACAAAGTTCTATAAACATACGAGTACAAAAAACGTACACAAAGTTCTATAAACAACCGTGTACAAACAAACGTACACAAAGTTCTATAAACAAACGTGTACAAACAAACGTACACAAAGTTTTATAAACAAAGAACATATGCAAACATACGTATACAAAGTTCTGATAAACAAACGCGTACAAACAAATGTGTATAGAGATCTATAAACAAAAGTGAATAAACAAACGCGTACTAACAATTGAGTATAGATTTTAATAAACAAACGTGAATAAACAAATGAGTATAGAGATCTAATAAACATACGTGAATAAACAAACGTGAATAAACAAATGAGTATAGAGAACTATAAACAAACGTGAATAAACAAATGAGTATAGAGAACTATAAACAAACGTGAATAAACAAATGAGTATAAAGATCTATAAACAAACGTGAATAACATATGCAAACATACTTATACAAAGTTCTGATAAACAAACGCGTTCTAACAAATGAGTATAGAGATTAATAAACAAACGTGAATAATTAAATGAGTATAGAGATCTAATAAACATACGTGAATAAACAAACGTGAATAAACAAATGAGTATAAAGATCTATAAAGAAACGTGAATAAACAAACGCATACAAACAAATGAGTATAAAGATCTATAAACAAACGTGAATAATTAAATGAGTATAGAGATCTAATAAACATATGTGAATACACAAACGCGTACAAACAAATGAGTATAGAGATCTACAAACAGATGAGTATAGAGATCTATAAACAAACGTGAATAAAGAAATGAGTATAGAGATCTAATAAACATACGTGAATACACAAAGTGAATAAACAAACGCGTACTAACAATTGAGTATAGAATTTAATAAACAAACGTGAATAAACAAATGAGTATAGAGATCTAATAAACATACGTGAATAAACAAACGTGTACAAACAAACGTACACAAAGTTCTATAAACAAACGTGTACAAACAAACGTACACAAAGTTCTATAAACAAACGTGTACAAACAAACGTACACAAAGTTCTATAAACAAACGTGTACAAACAAACGTACACAAAGTTCTATAAACAAACGTGTACAAACAAACGTAAGCAACGTTCTATAAACAAGGAACATATGCAAACATACTTATACAAAGTTCTGATAAACAAACGCGTTCTAACAAATGAGTATAGAGATTAATAAACAAACGTGAATAATTAAATGAGTATAGAGATCTAATAAACATATGTGAATACACAAACGCGTACAAACAAATGAGTATAGAGATCTACAAACAGATGAGTATAGAGATCTATAAACAAACGTGAATAAAGAAATGAGTATAGAGATCTAATAAACATACGTGAATAAACAAACGTGAATAAACAAATGAGTATAGAGATCTACTAAACATACGTGAATAAACAAACGTGTACAAACAAACGTACACAAAGTTTTATAAACAAAGAACATATGCAAACATACGTATACAAAGTTCTGATAAACAAACGCGTACAAACAAATGTGTATAGAGATCTATAAACAAAAGTGAATAAACAAACGCGTACTAACAATTGAGTATAGTTTTTAATAAACAAACGTGAATAAACAAATGAGTATAGAGATCTACTAAACATACGTGAATAAACAAACGTGTACAAACAAACGTACACAAAGTTCTATAAACAAACGTGTACAAACAAACGTACCCAAAGTTTTATAAACAAAGAACATATGCAAACATACGTATACAAAGTTCTGATAAACAAACGCGTACTAACAAATGAGTATAGAGATTAATAAACAAACGTGAATAATTAAATGAGTATAGAGATCTAATAAACATACGTGAATAAACAAACGTGTACAAACAAACGTACACAAAGTTCTATAAACAAACGTGTACAAACAAACGTACACAAAGTTCTATAAACAAACGTGTACAAACAAACGTACGCAACGTTCTATAAACAAGGAACATATGCAAACATACTTATACAAAGTTCTGATAAACAAACGCGTACAAACAAATGTGTATAGAGATCTATAAACAAAAGTGAATAAACAAACGCGTACTAACAATTGAGTATAGAATTTAATAAACAAACGTGAATAAACAAATGAGTATAAAGATCTATAAAGAAACGTGAATAAACAAACGCATACAAACAAATGAGTATAAAGGTCTATAAACAAACGTGAATAATTAAATGAGTATAGAGATCTAATAAACATATGTGAATACACAAACGCGTACAAACAAATGAGTATAGAGATCTATAAACAAACGTGAAGAAACAAATGAGTATATAGATCTATAAACAAACGTGAATAAACAAATGAGTATAGAGATCTAATAAACATACGTGAATAAACAAACGCGTACAAACAAATGAGTATAGAGATCTATAAACAAACGTGAAGAAACAAATGAGTATATAGATCTATAAACAAACGAGAATAAACAAATGAGTATAGAGATCTATAAACAAACGTGAATAGACAAATGAGTATATAGATCTATAAACAAACGGGAATAAACAAATGAGTATAGAGATCTATAAACAAACGGGAATAAAAAAATGAGAATAAAGATCTATAAACAAACGTGAATAAACAAACGCATACTCTATAAACAAACGTGAATAAACAAATGAGTATAGAGAACTATAAACAAACGTGAATAAACAAATGAGTATAAAGATCTATAAACAAACGTGAATAAACAAACGCATACAAACAAATGAGTATAAAGATCTATAAACAAACGTGAATAATTAAATGAGTATAGAGATCTAATAAACATACGTGAATAAACAAACGCGTACAAACAAATGAGTATAGAGATCTATAAACAAACGCGTACAAACAAATGAGTATATAGATCTATAAACAATCGTGAATAAACAAATGAGTATAAAGATCTATAAACAGACCCGTACAAACAATTGAGTATAAAGATCTATAAACAAACGCGTACAAACAAATGAGTATATAGATCTAATAAACAAACGTGAATAAACAAATGAGTATATAGATCTAGAAACAAACGTGAATAAACGAATGAGTATAGAGATCTGTAAACAAACGTGAATAAACAAATGAGTATAGAGATCTATAAACAAACGCGTACAAACAAATGAGAATATAGATCTATAAACAGACCCGTACAAAAAAATGAGTATATAGATCTATAAACAGACCCGTACAAACAAATGAGTATATAGACCTATAAACAGACCCGTACAAACAAATGAGTATATAGACCTATAAACAGACCCGTACAAACAAATGAGTATATAGATCTATAAACAATCGTGAATAAACAAATGAGTATAAAGATCTATAAACAGACCCGTACAAACAAATGAGTATATAGATCTATAAACAAACGTGAATAAACGAATGAGTAAAGAGATCTATAAACAAACGTGAATAAACAAATGAGTATAGAGATCTAATAAACATACGTGAATACACAAACGCGTACAAACAAATGAGTATAGAGATCTACAAACAGATGAGTATAGAGATCTCTAAACAAACGTGAATAAACAAACGCGTACAAACAAATGAGTATAGAGATCTACAAACAGATGAGTATAGAGATCTATAAACAAACGTGAATTAACAAATGAGTATATAGATCTATAAACAAACGTGAATAAACAAACCCATACAAACAAATGAGTATAAAGATCTATAAACAAACGTGAATAACATATGCAAACATACTTATACAAAGTTCTGATAAACAAACGCGTACTAACAAATGAGTATAGAGATTAATAAACAAACGTGAATAATTAAATGAGTATAGAGATCTAATAAACATACGTGAATAAACAAACGCGTACAAACAAATGAGTATATAGATCTATAAACAGACCCGTACAAACAAATGAGTATATAGACCTATAAACAGACCCGTACAAACAAATGAGTATATAGACCTATAAACAGACCCGTACAAACAAATGAGTATAAAGATCTATCAACAAACGCGTACAAACAAATGAGTATAGAGATCTACAAACAGATGAGTACAGAGATCTATAAACAAACGTGAATAAACAAACGCGTACAAACAAATGAGTATATAGATCTAATAAACAAACGTGAATAAACAAATGAGTATATAGATCTAGAAACAAACGTGAATAAACGAATGAGTATAGAGATATATAAACAAACGTGAATAAACAAATGAGTATATAGATCTAGAAACAAACGTGAATAAACGAATGAGTATAGAGATATATAAACAAACGTGAATAAACAAATGAGTATATAGATCTAGAAACAAACGTGAATAAACGAATGAGTATAGAGATCTGTAAACAAACGTGAATAAACAAATGAGTATAGAGATCTATAAACAAACGTAAATAAACAAATGAGTATATAGATCTATAAACAAACGTGTACAAACAAATGAGTATAGAGATCTATAAACAAACGGGAATAAAAAAATGAGAATAAAGATCTATAAACAAACGTGAATAAACAAACCCGTACAAACAAATGAGTAAAGAGATCTATAAACAAACGCGTACAAACAAATGAGAATATAGATCTATAAACAGACCCGTACAAAAAAATGAGTATATAGATCTATAAACAGACCCGTACAAACAAATGAGTATATAGATCTATAAACAAACGTGTACAAACAAATGAGTATAGAGATCTATAAACAAACGTAAATAAACAAACCCGTACAAACAAATGAGTATAGAGATCTATAAACAAACGCGTACTAACAAATGAGTATAGAGGTCTATAAACAAACCTACAAACAAATGTATAAAGAGATCTTCAAACAAACGTAAATGAACTTTATACAAAGTTTTACAATCATCCGTGTCAGAACAACTGTACTCAAAGTTCCGAAAAATAATTGAAATTATACAAGCAAATGCGATGCAACCGAACATTTGGAAAAAACCCTGCTTAAACCAATCAAAGTATCGGAAAGACAATGGCATGCTTTTTATTGATAGCAATTCTTACGTGGAAATAAAAAGTCATCTTCAGATAAAGAACCTAAGCTAACAAGGCACATGTATAGTATACTTACCCAGAATAAGAAGTTGAATGCTATCAGGAGATATCTGGAACACGTGGCGCACATTCCTTCTGCCATCGTGGAATGTTGTCATACAATGCTGAAACAGGAAGACATTTCTGATAACCATGGCGTGATATGATATCGGAGACAATAAGACTGTTCAACACATTTCGGAAAGATGTAGTTGGGTCTGGAGTATTATGACGATGCCAGTGGCGAAACCCTTGAGACATTACCGTACAATACGTATACCATACACACGCGCCCGCACACACGCACGTGTACATTTCCTACACTCTTGCATAAACAGATACACGAATTTTGTATTCTCTGAACATAATGTCAGTGTTAAATGTGATGTCGTCTTGTAAATAAGATTTTTAATATGCAATGTATTAATACCGTTGTACAGACGAACCCAACAGGCAGGAATCACGATTGTTATAGAACTACAGAACTATTACACGTGCTCATTTCTCATTTGGAAACTGCTCGAGTCTTTCCTCATACTGTTAAAGTGATCAAGTACCAATCACGGAGTGACGTCAAATTAAAATTATTACTAATTCCCGACTGGTTTCCAATTGACGTTTGCTGCCAGACAACTGTGTTTTAAAGACGTTTCCATGGCGATGCCACCAGTTCAGAAATTGGTAAAATATCTTAAACAAGAGGCACAAGAGGGCCTGTATCGCTCACCTGAATATTAAAGCAGTCATAGCAAAATATTCTCATTAAATATTATATTGCACTAAAAATGTTTCCCTCGCAAACATTGTTGGCTCCATCTGTTGAAACTACAAGCAAATTATTATTATAAGATTCTATGCTTTTTGATTCTTCTTCAGAAGTTGCTTGACGTATTTTACCCTGCGACCTTGTAAGTAGGTCAATGTCATTTTCCTTCTCAAATTGGTTAGCTCTATTCCAAAATGCTACCAGCCAAATCTTATGAATCCATTCCTTTTAGTTCTTGAGAACAAATCCTTTAAAACGTTGTAGACCCTTGTGACCTTTAAAGTAGGTTGAGGTAATTTTCATTCGCAAACTTTGGTGAGCTCTATCCCAGGAAGTCACCAGCCAAATAATATAATTTTATGAATTTTAATTCTTCAGAAGTAGTTTGACATATTTGAACGCTGTGACCTTGAAAGTAAGTCAAGGTCATTTTCATTCTCACCCTTTGTTTGGCTCTTTCCCAGGAAATAACCAGCCAAATATTAAGGTTCTATACCTTCTAGTTCTTCAGAAGAAGTTGTTCTAAGCGTTAGACATATCTGCCTCATGTGACCTTAAAAGTAGGTCAAGGACATTTTCATTCGCAAACTTTGTTGGGTTCATTCCCAGGAAATAACCAGCCAAATATTAAGGTTCTATACCTTCCAGTTCTTCAGAAAAAGCCATTTTAAGTGTTTGATATATCTGCCTCATGTGACCTTAAAAGTAGGTCAAGGTCATTTTCATTCTCAAACATTTTTGGGCTCTTTCCCAGAAAGCTACAAGCCAAATATTTAGGTTTTATAATTTTCAACTCTTCAGAAGAAGTCGTTTTAATCATTATACATATCTGTCTCCTGTGACCTTGAGAGTAGGTCAAGGTCATTTTCGTTTTCAAACTTTGTCGGGCTCTATCTCAGGAAGCCACCAGCCAAATATAAAGATACTCTATCTTTCAGTTCTTCAGAAGAAGTCGTTTGAAGCATTTGACATATTTGACTCCTGTGACCTTGAAAGTAGGTCAAACTAATTTTCATTTTCAAACTTTGTTGGGCTCTATCCCAGGAAGCCACCAGCCAAATATAAAGATTCTATACCTTTTAGTTCTTCAGAAGAAGTCGTTTAAAGTGTTTGACACATTTGACTCCCGTGACCTTGAAAGTAGGTCAAGGTCATTTTCATTTTCAAACTTTGTTGGGCTCCATCCCAGAAATCCATCAGCCAAATATGAAGATTCTAAACCTTTTAGTTCTTCAGAAGAAGTCGTTTGAAGTTTTTGACATATTTGACCCCTGTGACCTTGAAAGAAGATCAAGGTCATTTTCGTTCTCAAATTTTGTCGGGCTTCTACCAACAAAGCTTTCAGTAAAATATCATGACTCTAGGCCAGTCCGTTCTTCAGAAGAGGTTGTTTAAAGGAAAAGTTGACGGACGAGGACGGACGACGGACGGACGAAGGACGCCGCACCATGACATAAGCTCACTTGCCCTTCGGGCAGGTGAGCTAATAAAATGTGTAATGCCGACAAGATGAAACATTTTTTCTCGAAATTTTGTTGTTAATTTAAAAACGAGTCGTCGTAATTATGGCATTATGTCGACAAATCGTGAAATGATATATGAATAAGTCCATGTTATTTGAGTAACGTTCCCTAATCTCAATGGTTACTTCATGCCACTATAGATAGCCACTGCAAACATTGATGCTTGGATAACAATTTGTCATCGTTGTTTTGAAGTAAATATATAAATTGAAATGCATTTTAAAACACACCCACACACACCCACATTGATGATAGTATGCAACTCAGTTGCGCTCAAACGTATATGTTTAAAAATAGACCTTGTTAGAACTAGGAATGTTTGTAAGACATGAATGCCACCTTGTTCCTAGTATGATTGACCATTAAATAGCAACAGTGACCTTGGTGTTGACCTTTGGACCTAGAACACGAACTAATCCGGGGTATTTTCGTATCTGTACTACTATGACTCGCAACGGGACGGATATCTAATATGTGTCAAATTTTATCCCAATAAAATGGAGGGGGCATAAAATCAGTGTCCCGTATTTATCTTAAAATTTGAAAATTGACATAATGAACTCGCATCGATCGGATGAAAATTCGTATCTATTTAGAAAATATGATTTGAAGAAACGAAAGTCAATTGAAAGTAGTAGATTTGAACGTTGTGACTTTCTCTGAACATGATCAGAACATTGGAATTATCAAAACTTCGTTAACAAAGTTACAACAATTCGAACCTGGCCATCGTATCATATAGTGGAACGAATGGGAAATTCCTCTATAAGAAAGTCATGACCTAGTTTGACCTTAATATGAGCTAAATATCATCGTCACTTGTAGCTAATTAAAAGCTATGTATGTACTATAGAAGAATAAAATCACACTACACTTCCCAGACACTGACAGAGCATCTATTGACATGTGAAATAAATTGCAGGTACACAGAAAAGAAACAAATTACGAAGAGAAAAGATAACAATCATCAGGTTTACTTATACATCGGTTAGTCCCATTTCCCACTTTGTGCTCCGATCTTCCTTTACATTGTACCCGGAGGGACACATCCTTCATGTATAGCACGTGGAATTCCATTGGCCCAGGTATGCCATATTAAATCAAAATCCCTTTACTCAAATTGTGGTCTTTCAATATTTATCCCCATGTGGCACACTATTCATTTTACGTCGCCCCGACATATTGTTAAACCATATAATGGTAGCAGTATAATGAGGGTTTACCGTGTATAACAATACACAATATTTCAAGTAAGATGAAAGGACATAACTATGTTATACAAGGGAGGCACTTTATGACCATGCTGTAGGCCCATTTGGTAGCTATATTATATCGAGGAGGCACTTCATGTAATATAGGAAAATGAGGGGTTGTATTAGCAGTGGTGTTGATATCGTACTCGTTAGCGCCACCTGTTGATACTGACAGTTTTGGGTAACTCAAGCGGTTGTTATATTAACTGGATTATAGTCTACTACTCAAATTTTAGAACCCGGTAGGTGGAGTTACTGGTACATGACGGTGTTGACTGGTGGCCGCGGTAGGTGGGGTTACTTGTACATGTACAATGTGGCTGGTAACCGGTAGATCGGGTTACTTGTAAATGTACAAGGTTGCTGGTGACCGGTAGGAGGGGTTACTTGTACATGTAAACGTTGGCTGTTACCGGTAGGTGGGGTTACTTGTACATGTAAATGTTGGCTGGTGACCGGTAGGAGGGGTTACTTGTACATGTAAATGTTGGCTGTTACCGGTAGGTGGGGTTACTTGTACATGTAAATGTTGGCTGGTGACCGGTAGGTGGGGTTACTTGTACATGTAAATGTTAGCTGGTGACCGGTAGGTGGGGTTACTTGTACATGTAAATGTTGGCTGTGACCGGTAGGTGGCGTTATTGTACATGTAAATGTTGGCTGGTGACCGGTAGGTGGGGTTACTTGTTAATGTACAAGATTGCTGGTGACCGGTAGGAGGGGTTACTTGTACATGTACAATGTGGTTGGTAACCGGTAGATCGGGTTACTTGTAAATGTACAAGGTTGCTGGTGACCGGTAGGTGGGGTTACTTGTACATGTAAATGTTGGCTGGTGACCGGTAAGAGGGGTTACTTGTACATGTAAATGTTGGCTATGACCGGGAGGTGGGGTTACTTGTACATGTAAATGTTGGCTGTGACCGGGAGGTGGGGTTACTTGTACATGTACAATGTGGTTGGTAACCGGTAGATCGGGTTACTTGTTAATGTACAAGATTGCTGGTGACCGGTAGGAGGGGTTACTTGTACATGTACAAGGTGGTTGGTGACTGGTAGGAGGGGTTACTTGTACATGTACAAGGTGGTTGGTACCCGGTAGATGGGGTTACCCTAGAACTTTGGACCTGGTAGGTGAAGTGAATTTCCGGTAGGCCATGTGAGGTTAGCGTTTTGATATAAAGCTATACATTAGTGCCACATTTCTGGCATTGTGCCGGAAACTACATAAGTCGGCAGCTGTATCATGTTGTCAAGATAAGTTGTATATGTATTGTTGATGACAACTCTAATTATCCCCATCGGCTGAGACTACGCACAAAGCTATGTTTAGTTTAAGTGTTGGAGGAGGAAAGAATACTGACTACACAGTTAGCACTATTCATCAAATGACTGTCGCCAAAGTTAGGGAACATAAAGTTAGGTCAGGTCAGAGATGTCTTGACGACAGAATGTTTTGGATGATATAATATAGCATTAAATAACATTATTTGTTTTCCCCAATGAAATGAGATCAAATTAAATTTCTTTATCGTCTAGATTTTTGTTATACTGTAGAAACTACGAATACCGGTAACAGTTAT